ATATCATTCCATTATTACCCTTTTAATTTTAATATTTTCTAAATCTTTTTAAATTTCAATTTTAGTTTTAAAAATCTTTTAATTTTATTTTTTATCACAATATRTGGTTATTGGGTTGTTCTCGCATTCTCGTAAATCACAGGGGTTCTMGTTTGAACCCTTCCCTATATATATATATATGTGGTTGGTATTTGGTAGTGATACTTGAGATTACGTGAACAATGAGGGGTTATTTGATATCGTGATTGATTGGGACAGTTTCAAAAGCAAATTGTACGGTAGATCCAATTGAATCGTTTTTGGTCTTATTGTTATGTATAAATGTTATTATAAACGGAATATTTACTTTATGGTTCCTAGCGTTCGGTTTTGATGAGAAAAATATTTAATGTGCCAAGTGTAAAAAAGGAATATTCATTCTTACATATACATTATAATAAGATACACTGAAATACACCAGATTAATCTCAATATCAAGCGTGATTCATGGATGAGTTTGAGATTAAAGGTGATCAAGGGTAAAGATCTCTTCTTATGCTTATCACATTAACTCTACTTCTCATACGATCCTTCACCATGGTTCTTATACCCTAATGATTTATTTATAGGTAATGGTTGGGTCTGGGTTTTCGAGTCAGCTTGTACACACCGACTAATCGAATAGCCTAGAGTCATTGCAAATGAACCTTTATGATTATAAAGGCTTTGTCGGCGCCTGAATTTGAACCTGGAGTAAATAAGATTTTCCACTACATTTTTTATTTTCAAAAGCATGATTAACACATTTTCTTTTATAGAACCGGAAACAAACGAAGTGAATTTCTCTCTCAATTTCAAAAATTCATGTATCGGATTACAATCTTGTTTTCATGCATTTGTGAATGATATTGCTAAAAGCATGGATCCTCAAAGTATATTCACATGTGAATAGTGTCTCTGCAGTAGAACTAGGAAATCTTCGGCTGCTATGAGTCAGCACTCTGATAACTCTTAAGCAGTTGGCTAAAGAGGGAGGCGTTCAGGCGGGTTCATGGACATAATGCATAACGAGTGTGGAAAGAAGAAATAAACCGCTAGAAACACGATGACTCCAAGATCCGCTTCTTCACCAACGGCTGGTCTCCGGGGATTCACCAAGTAGATTTGGCTTGTGCACCATAAGCAGTACAAGCTAGCAATTACTAGAAGCAGCATTGCAGAGTTAATCGATTGTTTTCTGATAGATTTTACGGGTTTTATCCTGTTGTAGATGAATGGAAAGAAAGTTGGTTGATGGCTTAAACTAACTAGAGAAGGAAAACATGTATTTCAATTAAATCAAAGAATAAAATAAGCACCTGTTGATGCGAATGAAACCAACGATCAAGCAAGTACATAACAACCCAATTACAGCAACGGCGTCTGGATTGACAGGAGCACGACCTTTCCACCAACCAGTACTCAATATCCAAGTGTACATGGTTGAGTGACCGTTTTCCTGAGAAATTAGATGACAACGTGTCACCATTAGTTCAGAAACATGGGTACGATTATGGCTGTTGCTTCAGAATAATCATCAAGTGTAAAAAGATAAAAAATAAATATGAGCTTAGGTATGGATTGGAAATAAGGAACTAGGAGGGTACCCTGAAGAACACCACAACAATACTTGGGGAATTGAATCCCTTTTTATGATTAGATTCTCACTTCCGGTGCTCCAACATAATTGTTGCAACACATTGATGATACGCAACAAAATGACACAAACATATACCGAGGGTCCGAGATCACAATTGAAGCTACTATAAATGGAGATAGAGTTCTAGGATTTCATCATCAAATCCGTCGAACCAGGTAATGCTCAAGCTCCAATTAGTTGTACAGTAATGTTTAGCATACAATTTTGCGTCAATTGATAGGGTTTCTAACCTGGAATCGAAACCAAATGGTTGTCAATGATGATCAACGACGTGACAATGGCAATAATTGATAACAGTGGATTTAGGCGCAAATTAGGTTCAATCTGACATGCATAAATGGTTATGTGATGTTTAAAATACCTAGCATCACATTGAGGATTAAGTAAAATGCAAAAATCTGACTTACTGTTGACCAAATTCCATTCAGCCCTTTTGTTTGCACATGGAATAGAATTGAAGTCCATATATTCCACCATCCACAAACTTCATCATTTCATCGCATATGTGAGGGAATTCAAATCCATTCCCACCCCTTTTTTCAAAAGACAAAATTACCCCAAAACCCCCTAGCCTACTATATACCCATGCTCGTTGCCTTTGGACTCTCGATCCTTCACCGCCACCACCACCGCCAATTAACATTATCATTAATTTTACCATTACAACTCATTTTATAATTTAAGCAAGAAAGTATGAAAATGTAATAAAGGGGTGTTTTGGTCATTTATTATTATTTCACTCGGATTTCAAAGCAACGTTCTGCCAATCAAACAAGCAGATGTCAATTCTTTTAAAAGATCTCATTCCAATTCCCGACAACCAAACGGGTGGTCAAACTTATTGAATTCCATTGCAATTCCTTCAAATTCCAATTCCTTTGATGGACTCCAATTCCACCAAATTCCATTCTACGAACCAAACGGTCCGTCATGTGATACTAGGTATTTAAAATGTCTTATAACCATGTAAGTATGTCATATTGAACCTACTTTGTGCTTAAATCGAATGTTGTCAACTATTGGCACCGTATACAATGATAAGTATGTTTGTGTGGTTTCGTTATGGATTTGAATGTGATTCTCTGTGTGTGTGTGTATAATATGACTGTTTCAACAATTTAGTTGAAGCACCGCCAAGTAGTGATCTAATTGTAAAAGGGATTCAATCCCCTACATATTGTTCTGGTGTTCTTCAGCTTGGCTAAATGATCAGGGTGCCTTCCTAGTTTCTTTATTTCCAATTCATAACTAAGCTCATTTTATTTTATTACTTACAGGTTGTTGCAGGAAAGATATAAAAGTCATCAAAATGATTGTAACCGAACCAAACGATCCCACTATATCTCACCCAAAGGTAGGATCTTTGGGGGGATGAGAAGAAATTATGTAACAGCAAAAGGTAAAGGTACTAAAGAGTAAAGAGGCCCTCTTCTTCAAATGGCCAGTCATACATACAACAAAATTTTGCCGGAGAAAAACCAAATGACTTCTAGCAATTCAATTGAAATGCAGTATACAAGTTTCCTTTAAAAGTTGACATGTTAAGAAGATCACTAAAAATGAAGTAATAAAATAGCCATCAATCTTGCAAGAAAGAAATGGTGAATTAATCCAAAGGAGCTTCTAAAAGCACATTGTTCAAGTGTCTGAATGATGTCACAAGCAAAGCTACATATTCATAAGCTTATCTTTTCATAGTTGGATTGATTTAAACGATCTAATCAGCTTGAAAATACACCGGTTACAATCATGAGGCTCTACATTCACCAATCTTGCAAACCGTTACAGATTATGATGCTTCGTTGAACAGTTCCAATTTTCTACCTTAAACTAAGGACCTCCTGTACGAAGTTAAGGGAAATAAATAACCTTCATTACACGATTCTAGTAATTCACTGATATAGTTTTTGATCATTGATCAACCAGTAATTTGCTCGCTCTTCCCTCTATTTTGTGCGTCTATAATGATAATTATGCTAAACATTTATGGACCACATGAAGCAATATACATTCTCCGATTGTAAACCTAAAGTCAAGCATTACCTCAAACAGGTGATCTAAGAAGAAGTGAGATAAAGAACCAGCTGTTATGAGCAAAAAACATTGCTTCACCGTAAGGGCCACCTGCACAGGAGCACCAAAAACATCATAAGAATTCGTTCAATCTTAGGGTATCAGTAGAACTTCAAGCACAAAAATTACTCCAAAAATGGTATAACCAATAGCTACAAATGCGTAGACAAGTCATTAAAACGAATTACGGCAAAGAATCTCAAACCTAACAAACTGACCCCAGAGACGGAATCAAGATAGCCCTTGGAGACGAAAAATCGAGAAGCACGAGTGTAGAGTAAAGAAAGAGGAACTCCGAGGATCAAGACGTAACAGAGAGGATCGTGGATGAACTTTTCGACGGAGGATCCGAGCACACCACCCAAACCAACAGTAGATGTCAGCCACTCGGCGAACGACCCGATGTCGGGACCGAAAAACGCGTTGAGTGCATAGATGATGCAGTGATGAGGGCTGAATCTGCCATTAGACACGCTCGTCAGAGCTTGACCTGTCCCTAGAGCATACATCATGTGTGGACCTGGTCCTGGCATCCCGCCTGTAGGTTTCCGGCGAATTCGCCGGTAAATCCGATCTAAGAGATTCGGAAAGCTAGAGTCTCGGCTGGTCAGACATTTCCGTTTAGGAATTATTTGTAGGTTATTACTCAATTACCCCCAAGGTTTATGCTATTGTAGAAATGACCCCTCAACTACTAAAAATTGTATTCAAACTCTTACATTGGAAAAGTTGTGCAACAACGCCCAAATCGACAAAGCAATGCTCGACTTAGTTTAATGATAGCCTCTTGTTTCAAAAGAAGAAGGTGAAATCATTTACTTTTAGTTTCAGTTAAATATTCGTTTCTTATATGTAGGGGTGTTCAAAAACCCGACCAACCCGATCAACCTAACTCAACTCAATGCGAAATAACTCAACCTGAAGCAACTCGATGTCTAATCGAGTTGTAAAATTTTCAAACCGTAGGTATTGGGTTGATATTGTGTTACTATTATTTGAACCCAACCCAACCCGATGAACCCGATATCCATTTATTTCTTGAATTTAAAATGATTGTTGAATTTTTATTAATATATAGACTAGACAATTACATTATCACATACGCTATTCATATACACATCTTTTCAATCTATTCACATCTTTATATAACTCATTCGTATATATGTTCAGTAACTGTAAACATATATACGTAAATTGAGAAAATTAACTAAATATGATATACGTAAAGGAGTATGGATAAGTTGTATCAAATGATTGATGATGAAAAGAAAATTATGAGTAGAAAAATAAAATATTCAATGTTAGAACAATATTTTAAATGTATCAAAGTATCAACCCGACCAACCCGTACGGGTTGGGTTGGGTTGCACTTTCGTTTGGATTGGGTTAAGTTAAGATTTTTCAAATCGCAAGCATTGGGTTGGGTTGTTCAAATGTCTTCAACCCGATCAACTCAATCCATGAGCACCTCTACTTACATGTATCTGACTTCGACGTCACCCAATCAGAACCCAACAACCTCTCTCGTTCGATTTCTTCATTGCTTCTGCTTTTATATGTCAAGAAATCAATCTTCGTTTGTTGTTTTGTGGTTGCTTAATTCCTCCCGAGATTGTCACCAACCCCAAACCTTGAGTTTGTTCGAGTCTCTATGTGCGACTAAAGAATCTCAAAACCGTAGCATATGATTTTGCCCAGTCGTTTAATTCTTATAAATTAAACTCTCTCCTATTAAAATGGAGGTCTCCTTTCTCAACTCAAACTAACAAGTAACTATTTTTATTATATTATCAAGCTCCAAAGTGCAGCAACCCATATTTGTATAAATAACAAATAAACAACGGTTTATCGAACAAACCTCTTTTTATCGCATCAAAATGATGAGACAACACTCACTTATCGCATCAACCAATAAAATAAATCGTTTATCGTATCACATATAAACTTGTCACATTTAAATAAATAAGTCATAAAGTTATCGCATCCAACAGATGCGCTAACAGTAACTCCTCGTCATACACATGTGATAATTCATACTTGTCGCACTTCAAAAATGCGATAACCACCCTTGTCACATCCAACAGATGCGATAACAGTAACTTGTCGCACCATATAGATGCGATAAACTCATCATGTCACATCACAAGGATGCGATAACCTCAACATTTCAATTTTATCCCAATTTCATCGCATCACACCTCATGCAATAAAATCAACCTCATTGCATCATATAAATGATATAACATAACCCCATCCAGAATACGATTATGTCACTCTTATCCTAGTATACTCAGTTCCTAATTATGTCACATTTATTACAAAATATATCAATCTTCTTATTATGCCATCCTTATTACAAAAATTTACTTATCTCCTGATTATATCACCCTTATTACAAAAATATATCCATCTCATGATTATGCTACCCTTATTGCAAAAGTATATCTATTTTATGATTATGTCACCCTTATTACAAAAATATACATATCTCCTAATTGTGTCACCCTTATTACCATCAGATGAATAAATCATATCAAAACCCAAAATTTATGCTAACAATAGCACATAAACATCATGTACTCACGTATGAAACCTTACGGTTTCTTTACCCAAAAACATAATAAATGATATTTTCAAAATAAAACTGACTTTATGTTTACAGAGATGAAGATGAATAACAACATTTATTCAGAACAAAAATTCACATAAATCAGCTTCTTTCTTTCTCTTCTTTTGGTTTCTCTTTTTTCTCAGACTCAAATAACACATAGAGAACTACTTTTTTCTTTTTAACTCCCTTACCATCCCAATGAGATATCTAATATGCATATAAAAATCATGAGGGGTTGGATTAAAATAATTTAGGCACAAATGCAAATTGAACCCCTCTATCTTCTGTCTTAATAAAAAATAATCCCAAACTTTATAACCGATAACCCGTGGAAAGGGGAGGAAAGAATTTGGGGAAAGGAGGTGCGAAGCGTCATCAAAAGGTTCTCCGTGACAACATCCAGGGAATCACGAAGCCTGCAATCCGTCGTTTGGCGAGAAGAGGTGGTGTGAAACATATCAGCAGCTTAATCTATGAAGAAACTCGCGGAGTTCTCAAGATCCTTCTAGAGAATGTGATAAGAGATGTTGTCACCTATACGGAGCACGCTCGGCGAAAGACTGTTACCGCTATGGATGTTGTGTATGCATTGAAGAGGCAAGGTCGAACTCTGTACGGATTCGGTGGTTAGGGTTTTTGAGTTTGGGAAAAGTCTTGCTGTGTCAAGAAAGAACTGGGTCAGGTTAAGATCCAAATGGGTGTTTTATGAACTGTAGTTACCGGTGGGTGTAGGTATTTATCTTTTTGTTACTATAAAGAAGGAAATGGAATGATTTCTACTAAAAAAACCCGTTATCACACTCGTGTACAGCCAACTGGCTGAAGGAAAACAATGCTAGTTGAAGGGACCTAAACCAAAAAAAAAATGCAACAAAGGTTTTTCGTGATAAATGATATGATCTTATAATTCTTCGTAATTTATGTCTGAATATAATTTATACATATTTGAATGTTTACCAATTATAAATACTTTATATATATATATATATATATATATATATATATATAATAAGTAAAATATTATTGCATAAGAACTTGTTTCTTTGTTAAAACAAACAGGAATGCGAATAATATTATAACTTGTCAAAATTATTTTGCTTAAGCATTTGTTAGCTAGTTTATTGAAATATTAAGTATTATTTAATATAACTTTTTAATTATGAACTAATTTAGTAATTACAAATAAATAAGTATTAAATTATTATTTAATATTACATTATTAAATTTTTATTATTAAATTATTAACTTAAAATTAATTCTTAATTTTTGTTTAGTATTAATTATTAGTTATTTTTAAAATATCATTTTTAGTTAGTTTACTGTTTGTAACTGTTTTATAAGTTAGCTTTTAGTAAAATACTAGTTGTGTACCCGCGCAATATGGCGAGAGCCATGAATTTTAACGATTTTGAAGTTCCACTGGTTTTATAAGATAAGATTTAACGATGATATATGTTACACTTGGTCTTTACATATTAATATAATTTGAATAAATAAGAGTTATGGTTCCAATTACAAACTATCGATGAAAAAATTGTATGACAGTTTAAAATCCAATATATTTAAAATTCAACATATTTAAACGACTCCACAAATGTGTTCGATTTACACCAAGAGCAAAGAACCAAGAAACTTGAGTTTTAAGATAAACACTCAAAACCAATAAAGAAAACTACAAATTGACATATCATAAGCCATGAAAAGACCAAAAAAGATGAGTTTTAGAATGAAATTTCAACTGCTTACCTTCTTTCTTGTCCAGAAACTCATATTAAGATTGAATTAATACATGTATATATATATATATATTTTTTTTTTTTTCAAAAAAACCCAAAAACATATTAATTCAGAACATATTATACAGTGCACTTTGGACAGCCTAACCCCAAAATATATAATATATATAAATAAATAACTATAAAAATATAAATCGTAAATATTAAAAAAAAAAATTTCCACAGTATATATAACATATAATATAATTAAGTCAAAAATTATTCAATATTTGACTCATTTCGAAGGTATTAACGAGACGATTATAATGGTGTAACTTGTAAAAATAAAAATGTATTTTTAAACATGTTTTAATTAATATACGATTATGTATATTAATTTAATAAAGCTTTAAAATAAAACATTTAAAAGTAAATGACGTAAAGTAAATTAATTAACTAATTATAGGGGTATAAAGTGTAAGAGGGTAAGTGTATGTGAGGGGATGAGTATATGTGAGGGGAGGATGGGGGGTGAAAAAGTGATATAAAGAGTATCTTGATCATTTAGTATTTTTAGACTTTAAGACTTTTGTTAAATTTACTTTATAAGATAATATAGATAACTATTTAATTAATTAGTTTATTAATTATGAGCTACTTTTTCAAACATAATTTCACTTTAAATAAAAAAAAAAGTTTGCATCGATAGGTTGAGTGGACATGATTGTAGTTGGTGGTACCACCATTAAGTGTAAATTAAGTTTTGTATCAATATTTTTTTAGGTAGTTATATATATCTAAATTAATTAAGATCCTGAAATTAACAGTTGGAATAAACATTAAGGGTTTTTTTTTGTTTTTTCAAAAAAAGCTCTTAATACCTCTTAAGTTTGAATCGATCAGACGTTTTTATTTTCAGACCGTTTGATTTTTTTTGAAAATAAGAGCTGAAAAGCTCTTATTGTCCTCTGAATTTTAAGTGATAGTCTAAACTCTTAATGAGCTCTTATTCACACATGAGGACACCATATCGATCTCTCGTTCTCTTGCTTGATTTGCAGCTGCCAAATCATACCGATCTATCCACATCATACGATCTAGACACCATATCGATCTCTCGCTCGGTCTCAAGCTACCGATCTATCCAAAACGATCTCTACAAATCGATCTCTCCTATATATGAGTTATTTTCTGAGTATGATCAAACCATTGAGCAAGGGATGATGGCGACACAATTAATGCAATATGAATATTGGTTCTAGTCGTTATGAGACTGTTTTCGTGTTTATATTGATTCAGATTTCAGACTTCAAGACTTCAGACGTAAAAACAAACAGTCTGACTGATTCAGATTTCAGACTTTAGCACCACCTCTTATAAATTAGAAGTGAAATCAGACTTCAGACTTCAGCACCTCTTAAAAAACAAACATCACCTAAGTTCTAGAAAGAAAATTCAAAAATCTTACCAATTATGTCATATTTATTTGATAAAAAAATTACCTTGATAATCATCTATACTGTATTATAAAGTATTTGATAAGAACTCTTAAAAACAATTTTTAATTAATAAAACACTGTTTATTAATATATATTACTTAAAATTCAAGATTGCAAGTCAATTGTGCGTAAGTACAATTTATTAAAGCTTCATTTTTAATCGTGTAACGAACTACAGATAAACATAATCAAATACGAGATAAACATCTTATTTTAAATATAAAAGATCTAAAATATAATTAGGATAATCATTAGTTATAACAAAATACTTAATTATTAT